GCCAACCCTGCCTTACAAGGTACTTGCCGTCGGAGGAGATGGCCATGCAGAGGATGGGGCTGCTGTGGCCGGGGGGCTGCCCCTCGGCACCCTTCTTGGCCCGTGGGATCACATGAAGCTTCCGTCCACTCTCCACACTCCCTGACACCGGGAAAGAGAGAGGCTACTGGGATGGAGGCTAGGACCGGCTGGCAAGCCCCCACCAAGGGCAGCACGGGGTTGTGGGAGAAGTGGTGGCCTCAGGGCTGAAGATCGGGCGCAGCCACCGTGAGCCCCTGTACAACCCCCTCAGGCTTCTCGTCTGTTACACGGTGATGGTAACCCCAAAGGGCAGCCGCGAAGCCCCAAGGAGAAGGACAGGAAGGTGCTTTAGGACCAAGGCTATTGGTTCTTCCAGTTTCTCCTCAGGGTGGATGAAGACAGCACTCAGCCGTCGAAGGGAGGACCCAGGAAGACCAGGAATGCAGTCCTGGGGCTGCACAGAGCCTCAGGGAGCTCACAGCCCCACTCCTAGCCAGAAGCTTCCACTGGCACCCAGAAAACACCTCCTTAGGAGCAAACTTACCTCCAGAAGCTTCCCTCTCGGGCCTCCGTCTGCCCTGACGACCCCCTCCGCCATAGACCAGCCCTCCCGAAAGACCCCCAGGCTGTGGACCCCCACCCAGGCACTCACTCACACTTGATAATGCTGCAGTCTTTGGCAGCAGAGAAGATGGCCGCGTCATCGGGGGTGATGACCACGCACGTGATGGAGAGCTGGTGCCCCCGTAAGACTCGGATGTCGGCCGGGGCTGGGGCCTGGATCTGGGCAGGCAGGGCTGGGTCACTGCCGGGGCAAGAAGGCCCCTAGACACACACACACACGCACATGCACACGCAGGCGCACACCATCCTTTCCCACCACCCTGACCAGACCCTCACGTGACCCTCTCTGCCCAAGTGCCCACCATGTTCCAGAGCAAATACCCCATAGCCTGAGTTCCCAGTCAGGCCATGTGCTCCCCAACCCACGTGGGACCCATGACTCACTCCCATCTCACACCAAAGTGCCCTGCCCGCTTACCTCCTTTGCCACCGACTTCTGCAGCCTGCCCCGCTGCTCCAGCTGCACAGAGAGGACAGGGGTGAGCTCCCAGGAGCAGGGCCAGCCCCACCCTTCTCTCCCACCACCTTCCCTCCACAACTCACCACGTCCTCCTTCAGGCGTCCGGCCACCTGGTCCTCCTCAAACGCCCGAGCCTCAGCCTTCTCCTCCTCTGTGCAAGCACAGACCAGAGCAGGTCAACCCAGGCCAAGCCTCCACCTCTCCCTTCCCATCCCCACCCCACCACCACCTGGGTCCTGGGCCCCAAACACTCAGGCTGCGTCCCCCTGGGAAGTTCGGCCTACCTCGGGCAAAGGAGAGGTCTCCTCCTGCCTAACCCCGGTCTTTACTTAGAGATCAGGCTAAAGCCCCCTGAAGGTCTGCCCCCCGCCCCAGGAGGCCCGTTAGTCTCCTAGCCACCCTTCCTCAGGGCAGCCAGCACCAGCGGCTCTGGCAGCCCACCAGGCCCCTGCATCAGTCACCCGTCAGGCAGCTGTGGCCGCAGCAGGCACTCGTGGGCACAGGCCCTGCCCCTCTCCTGCCCAGTGCACGGGCTCACCTTGCTGCCTGAGCTGCTCCAGGTAGAGCTTGGCCAAGCGCAGCTTCTTCTCCTGGGCTGTCTCCTCCTGTTCCTCCTCCTCCTCCTCCTCAGTCCTCCTGGAAGGCAGGCTGTGGGCGGGAAGGGGCTGGCTCTGAGAGGGTTCAGCCCGCTCCTCTGGCCCCTGGGACCGTGCCTCCCCGCTGCTTCCCCTGCCACTCACCGCCCGCGTCCCTGCCGGCCCTCGGCGCCAACGATCACCCATGCACACAACCGGAAGACGTGACCTACCAAACTGAAAGGACCCACCCAGTGCCCGACATGAGGGTGAAAAGAGATCCCAAACCCAAAACGATCACTGTGAAATCTCTCAACTCTAGAGGGAAAGAGCAGGTTCTACAGACTGCTGAGAAAAGGTCACATACGCAGGGTCTGGAATCAACAGCAACACTGAAAGCAGGCCGACAAAAGAGCCACACACACAAAATCCTCAAGGGCAATGTGAACCCCTGGAAGGCCACGCCAGTTAAACCATCGACGACCGGTGAAGATCCTGTCAGATATACAAGGCACCACAGGACTGGTCTTTTCTAAACCTCACTAAAGGATGGAGGGTGTGCTCCCCACACAAGAGGGTGAGCTAAGAATGAGAAAGGGAATAGGAGATCCAACATGGAAAGCTGAAAAGGCAGATCGCAGACCTCCCCCCCCACCCCCAACAGGGGAGCAGCCACCAGCCTAGATCCGATAGAAGGACCCAAGAGACATCACCGCCTCACCCTCATTACCGCAGCCCTAGCCTCTACCTTGAGGACGGGATTCCAGGTGAACCTTAACTGGGTCTTGGCTTGACCTTGTGCTGGTGAAGGTGCTGCTTTCCCTTCCACGCCCCATCCCTGGACCGGCTGGGAGCACTCACTTCACTCAAGACACATCCTACCAGGACTTGCTCTTGGGAGCTACAGGTAGGTCACAGGAACCGTCCCCTGATCACGTGCCTGAAGATTACCTAGTCCCTGTCAAATGCCCCAATTGTTTCCCAAGCCTCATTTATGACTTTGCCCACAGTGTCCCCAGAAGGAACCTTGGAAACTCTCAAGGAAGCCAAGGCTAAACCAGGCCCCAGAGACCACTTGGTACCCAGTGCCCAGCCACCCTTCAGCCGACAGGGTTGGTGCTGCCCTTCCTTTATCCAGCTAAGGTTAGAACTTCTCAGTTTACCTAAACTAATCAATTGTTGAGGGGTTCACACATGGGAAATGGAACTCTAAAGAAAAGCAAAGGAAGCATACACTGTATGATTCCACTCATATAACGTTCTGGAAAAGGCAAAATGCTAGGGACAGTAGTTAGCAGGGGCTGGAGGTGAAGAGGCACTGACTACAAAGGAGCAGGGAGAATTCTGGAGCGTGATGAAACCTTTCTACACCTTCATAGTGGTGGCAGTTACACAACTGTATGTGTTTGTCAAAACTCACAAACAGATTATACCTGAATGAGAAAATGAAAAGGAGGAGGACCGGGGTGGGGGCGGGGCTGAAGGAGAAGGGAAGGAAGGAAGGAAACCAGAGAAATTATTAACTCAAGTCAGAATGCAGAGCTGGGGTTTCTAAGTTTCTGCAAATGGTCTAGTTCCTAACCTAGGTGCTAGGCACACAGAGCTTCATCATTTCACCATTGCTCCCTAGAGTCCAGACACATTTCGTTGACTCCTTCTGTATCTCCCACACTCACAACACATTTTTTAAACATTTCAAAGTATTCAGCACAGGGCCAGGCACACACCCACCATAGTGACCTTAAAAGTAAGTATATTAAGTCTTTCTGTGAGCAGGTCAAGACCAGCATGTGCTCAGTGTTAGAAGCTGAATTTCTAAAGCCAACTCTTAGGGAAGGCCCCCAGAATCCCTGGTATGACAGCCTCCTTTCTACAGGCTCAGGCCTGACACCGTTAGCCTTCTTTGAAACCCTGCAACATGCCCCACCCTCGGCACCTGCAGAATGAGGGAGGTATTCAAAGCCCTCCACCAAAGCGGCCAACACCTGCCTTTCCATCCTCGCCATTTCCCACTCCCACACATGTAAAGCCCTAGACTTTTCTCTGCTCCCTGAATGTCCTCCCTGCCTCTACCTGAGGGATTCCTCCTCATCTCTCCAAGCCCTATTTAAATGTCCCCTCCCCTGTCTCCAGAACACAGAGCTGTAGAATACACATCCCATTGCAACACATTTTGTCTTCACCTGACTGCTCATCTCTGTATTCTCAATAGTAAAGCCAGTGCTTGGCATGTATTGAGAGCAACAACTGTGAAATTGCGGGAAAATAGATGAAGAACTAGCAAGCTCTTCATGTATTCCTCTATCCTTACCAGCCGGTCCAGCCCTGTGCTCAGGTCCCTGCCATGAACCAGGGAGGTCTCACTGGTCTCCCATTGGGACTGGGGGTTCTCCCCACACAGAGACCCTGCAGAGGAGATGAGACTTCTCAATCTCCTCAAGACGAGTCCTACTCATCAGGGTCAGAACTGGAGGAAAGTGCCAAGATCTAAGAGCCAAAAAGGCCAGAGACCTGGGTTCTAGTCCCAGCTCTGTCCCGACTCACTGGGCCTCACTGTTCCCTTCCCCTAGGTGGAAGAGAACTCACCTCTCACTTTCAGAGTCGCTGGAGATCTCCTCATTCATCTTGCCGCCTCCCTTGGACTTGCCCCGGTCCCCGGCAGAGTCGGCCTGAGAATTAAATAATCCTTTCGTTGGTCAGGCGTCCCAACCATCCCGGCACTGACCAAGCGCCCCTTCCGATCTCTCGAGGGTCGCGGGACCCGGAAAGGCGATGGCCCCCCGACTCAAATGCAAGGTCTTTCAGGATTTGGCCCACAGAGAGAGGGACGAAGCTGACTCCAGCTGGGGTCCCGAAAAAAAGAGCCGCGGAGGGGCCCGGGGCCCTGGTGTCCCGTATGGGATGACGGTGGTCCCAGTAGCGGGACTCCGCAGAAGCTCCAAGCTCACCTTTCGCCGCCGCTTGCCGGACCCTGCACCGGCCCCGGGCCCCGATGCCGACCTTCCCCGCTTTCGAGCCGCCGCTGCCGCCGACATGCTGCCCACCGTGAGCGTAGCTGCCACCACGGAGAACTCACGTGGCTGCTAAACCCCTGAGGTCTGGCCAAGACTCCGCGCCCCGATAGGCTCCCAGTGCCCCGCGGGTCCCGCCTCCCACAGCTCCATTGGGTCCTTCTGTAAGCTCTGTCACGCCCCTCAAGCGCCCATAGGGTAAACGCTCGTGACCACGCCTCCAAGAGTTCCTACTGGCTCGGGCGCCAGGCTCCAGTAGGAAGCAAGCCTCTCCCCGCGCTTCCGGCCCAAGGCTAGGGCGCATGCGCCCTGCTGCGGGCTGACGTCCGGGGGCCGGTCGGATCAGAAGGGCCTTCTCTGTGTTTGCGGTCCTTGGACGCTGGGAGGCGTCAGAGATGCAGGGTTTCGTATCTCGGAGCGTGACTCCTCCCCGTCGGGGGCTGGAGCCAGGGTGAACCATCCTGGCGCGAGGTAACCGGGAGGAATCTAGGCAGCCCCGAGGAGGGGAGGCAGTGTCTGCACTAGGGCCCAAGGTCACTGGGCAACGGGCTGACACGTATTGCGTGCCTCAGGCCAGACAAGCGGCGCTAAGGACGCGTCAGTCCCCGGGGCTGCACTGGCTGTATTCCAGTCAAGTGTCCACCGGTCCATGGGACAGGCTGTTGGCCTCCGCCTGTCCAGCCTCTGACTCACTTGACTGGTGGCCAGATAGCTGGAAAACCACACCCCCGCCGCGCGCTGCCCCTGCTCCCATCTCTGGCGTTTGTAGGGAAATCACTGCCCAAGTCCCGCTTAAGGTTACAGAGGGTTGGTAGAGAAGGCCCTAGAACTGGAACTGCTGTGGGGGTCCTGATACTAGACCCGTGACTGCCATCTCTCTCAGGTCCCTACGTCTCTTAGGTGACTGCCCTATGGTCCTGCCCACAGCCCTCTGCAGGGCAGGGCAGGACGGGGTGTGACTGGAGCTTGCCCTCTGGCAGTTCAAGGCCACAGGTCTCAGACCCTGACTGGCACCCCAGAACTTTTGAACCCCTCGGGAAGGGTTTCTGGGCCTCTGGGTGCCAAGTTCTGGAGAGACAGATCTGTCCCAGGAGTGTGGCTCTTGGGAGCTGCTGCCCACTCTCCTCCATAGTTGGGGTGACTCAGCCCAGCAACCATGCCAGGTCCATCTGAGTCAGCTGAGACGGGGAGGAGCAAGCAGTACCCACAGGGAGGAGGAGCCCAGAAGCAGGAAGAGATTCTCTTCTCACTTTCCCTCCCTCTTCAGGACCCTGGATTGCTAGAGAGGGTGGAGAATCATTCTTCCTTGCCCCGAGGGCAGACTGGACAGGGTCCTGGCCTGGCTCCTGTGAATGGGAAAAGAGAAAGGGGACTGGTGCAGAGAGCCGGTTTTGGTCTGGGTCAGGGAATGGGGAAATGGAGGCAAGGGGAGGCAGTGTGTCGGGGGGGGGGGTGTCACCAAAGGGCAAACCCAGAGTGGGGCAAGTTGATGCTGTACCAGTCAGGTGGGATGCAGAGGCCATGAAGCCTGAGGGCCCCCTCTGTGCCCCAGAAGAGCCATGGCTCCAAAGCGCAAGCCCCAGGTGCAGTGTGAGGGCCCTGAAAAAAAGAAGGGGCAGCAGGGGGCAGAGGAGGAGGACAGCTTCCGCTCCACCGCCGAGGCCCTCAGAGCTGCACCCACAGACAAGCACGTAGTCCGAGTGGGTCCAGCCCACTCAGCCACAGCCCTGGGACTCAGGTAAGCTGTAGTCCCAATCCTGACTTGGAGCCTACTCCTTCCCAGGTACAAATACACTCAGACCTGGTGACGCCTGGGTGGCTCAGTCGTTAAGCGTCTGCCTTTGGCTCAGGTCATAATCCCAGGGTCCTGGGATCGAGCCCCACATCGGGCTCCCTGCTC